TTTAATAAATTGATTATGATTGTAATAACATGAGAGAATTGATAATCAACATTACGTGTTTTAAATGATATTTTAATTTTGTCAATAATATTTAGCCTAATGAAAAAGAGCATTAACTTGTAGACAAGAGAAGAGGTCTCGAACTCCAATTTCTAGTTGGGATGAGATATGAATAAGAATTTTGTTGCTTAAACTGAAAAGAATTTAATGAAATGGTGTCCTTATTGAAGTGGGCCGCCTTTGTTCAAAAAGAGAGCTATAGGCCGGCCCTACAAAAGAAGAAAACATCGCAAGAGAGGCTCTCTAGGGCGCCAAGCTAGCAGTAGGAGTAGCAAGGGAAATATATCGTTTGTGGGTCCCGACTCGAACGCGAAGAAATTAACAATGTCCAGATTTTAATAGGATTCAAAATTTTATAAAAATATATAATGTAGAAATTGGCGAAACACTAAGCAACTGGTAAAAACAGTGAAATCAACAAGATTATGTCACCTCATCATGCTCTGGTGGCTTTCTTCAAGAATTTCCAACTGGCGCGCACATGCATGCATTATCCACACAGTACTTTTACGTGCTTATTAACACAACAATCAGAGACTAAAAATACATAACAATTTATTTAATCTACAATACAATTAAAAAATTAAATGGGAGTATAAGCATATATAGATATATTTGCTGTTCATATACAATATATATATATATATATATATAATACAAAATATATATAAGTGCTCGAACGGTCGAATCATACATTTTCTCTCTCTCTCTCTCTCTCTCTCTCTCTATATATATATATATACATACATATGCTCCTTTCAAATTAACTTGTTTGACCTCAAGTTATACATACGTGTTTCTGGGATACATTTTCCAATTTCTTTTTTTGTTCTAGATATTTTTGTATATACAATATTATGCTTACGTAGGAGTGCATGTGTTTATGTTCGCTATTAAGTACAGATGATCATGCATACAATATACATGATTATATAATTAATCAAACCAGTTGGATTAAATCTCTCTACTCCAATGCCGATTAAATACAGCAATATAACGTTACTGGGGAAGTATATTTTGCTCTCCCTCTATAAAAACCCCCAGCTACCCCATTATCTCTTATTATCTTGCCTAACTGCCCTCTCTCTCTCTCTCCCTCTCTCTCTCTCCCTCTCTTTCTCTCATCTCTCATCTCTCATCTCTCTATCTCTCTTTTCTCTATCAGAAACGCACAATCACACAGACAAGATGGATAAAAAGCCATGCAATAGTTCATCCCAGGATGTTGAAGTGAGAAAAGGGCCATGGACCATGGAAGAAGATTTGATTCTGATCAACTATATTGCAAATCACGGTGAAGGTGTATGGAACTCCCTAGCCAAAGCTGCTGGTATAACACGTTTGATCTCTAAATATTAATTAGTATCTAACATAAAATCAAACCCTAGCTAGAACCTTTTAATCATTTTCAAACTACATACATATTATGTAAATGTCACTAGGAGGTGTATATTATGTCACTAGGTCTCAAACGTACTGGGAAGAGTTGCCGGCTCCGGTGGCTAAACTATCTGCGGCCTGATGTTAGGAGAGGCAATATTACACCTGAGGAACAACTTTTGATTATGGAACTGCATGCCAAGTGGGGAAACAGGTGATCATCACTTTTTTTTTAAAATTTATTTATTATACACTGAAATATCAACATATAGGTACACACGCACCTTGATATTTTAATCACAGAGACAAATACATACATATATGATTATAGTATATGTGGATTTCATAATATATTTCTCTCCGTGATCACCTTCTTAATTCCTTCTTAATTTTGATGACTAAGTAGGATTTGAGATCTCATATACATAGGACCTTGATAGTAGCCCTATTTTTATAGTCTGGGACCTATGAGGGAAGAGAGAGAGTTACAACGTGAACGTGTGGGGAATTTGAGTCATTCTTAGGTTTTTACGAAAATGATATAGAACACATGAGGAACTTATGGCCAGCAAAAATCCGGAGAAAGATCTGTTTCTTGTACTTTCATGGCTACCAAAAATCCCTCTTCAATTCTTTTTCTTCATTTTGATTCTACGTATTATCCATTATTGTGATTTCCTCCACAAGGACGTTTGAAAAAATAAATCTCTAAAAAGTGCATATAAATATATATATGTGCTTAATTGATAGCAGTCTCTCTTAGATGTGTTATAGGATGGACTACTGGAGAGTGGAGGCCTGGGGCAAATCATTGCAGTGGACCCTTCTTCTTTCAAGGGCAACATCAACCCTTCTTCTTTCTTCATGATCACTTTTTTTAAAAAACATATATCCAAAGCTAGCTAATTAAGAAGACCAAGTAATTTATCATGATTTTTTTTAATTAAAAATTAAAAGATGCAGTTACAAAATGCTATTGTGAGTCTCATGTTTTTTGGACCCACCAAATCAACAACTGATAGTCGTTCACGTGTGTGGGGAAAATGTGTATATTATAAGTATAGCTTTATAATTACATAGATAACCAAAAAATTTGAAATCCAAATTTTTTGTATAGTTTGCGGAAAAAAAAAAGGTCTAGTCTCTTCTATGTGATTAACCCATGATATTGTGGGGCATACACCATTTGAGAAAGTAGGAAAAATTAAGAAAAAAAACCCTCTCCCTAGTAAAGTTGAAATTAAAATTGGTAATGAAGTCAAAACAATTATAAATGTTCTTCCAGTATAAGTAAATAAATAAATAAAGTCCAAAGGTTTTGGAAATAGTTGTCTATGTGGGAAGGAAAGAGAAGAAATACCTTAAAACTAGTGGTGTGTGGTGTGTGGTGGTGAAGAAGTTGTGATATATTAAGACGCGTTCTAGACTGGAACCCAAAAAGTATTGAAGGCAATAAAAACCTTCCATTTATTGGTGAACCCTGTAAACTGGTCACATGCCAACCCTCGCATTCAGAAGAAAAGGACAAACTCTTTTGCTTTGGGTTGAAATAGACGTGAACCATACTGTTGTGGCTGCTTAAGGCAAGGACTGAGGACTGGCCCCCCTTGTTTGTACACATAAAGATCCGTCGATGCAAGGAGGAGGAGGCAGCAGCTGCTAATCAAAGTATTAATCTTGCAAAACAAGGCAACTGCATGGCTAAGTAGAACTTTACTTAGTAATTTGAATATTATTAATACTAAATTATGTTGATAACTTGAAGCCTCTTCTCCGGCAGTTGGCTCAAATTTTCTGCCGAATACGGTTCGATTTTTTCAACCCCCTTCACCTGGTAGATATGGACAAAACAGAACCATATCGATATAGATATAAGAAATAACAATTCAGAATATGCACATATATTATGTATATATACTATACCGGTTATATGCATAGAGTCTGGGCTTTGCCTTTGAATCTCAAGGATAGAGCTCCCTCGACTAAGCTAAGCCTGAATTGGACAAGTGGTTGGACATGGAAACTAAGCTTGGAGATGGAGATGGAGATGGAGCTGTTATCTGTGTATATACATACACGTACGCAAAGTAAATGTTTTGTGTTCTTATAGATGACCAAGTCCTGTGTCCTGATCTGCCTTATATATACGTGTGTGTGTGTGTGTGTAAATGAGTCCAGCTTGGAAGGCTTTCATTCTCACCCATAATAGAACATGCTTGGCTTGGAATTTTCAGTAATATTTATTTCAAAGTTGAAGGTAATTTTTGTTTATAGTTTATGTTTTAATTAATTGTGTTTATATATAGATTGAGATGTTCCATTATTTTCTGCAGTGAGTGTTCTTTCTGCTAACAATGCTTCTGATACCACTTATTTCTCACAGCAGCTACTTTTTCTTATAGGAGTTTCTGTAGCAAATAATGGCAGTACAAATAATTTATTGTGGCAGTTTTAACATTGGATGTTGTGTTTTCTTGCAACTCAGGTGGTCGAAAATCGCAAAACATCTGCCAGGACGGACCGATAACGAAATCAAGAACTATTGGAGGACTAGAATTCAAAAGCACATTAAGCAAGCAGAGAATAATATTATACCTGGACAAAGCTCCGAGGTGAATGATCAAGCAAGCACAAGTCAGGTGTCGATCTCCAGCGCTGCTGTGGACACAATGGAAATTACCCACGCCGCACCGGCTAATTACCCACCAAACATGGATGCTTATCCTTCTTCTTTACCTGCTGATCACTCCCATGAAAACTACTGGAGCATTGAGGATCTCTGGTCTATGCAGTTACTAAATGGAGAGTAATTAAGCAACCCAAATCATATATTATGCTCCAAACTCTTATTTGGATAATTAATTATTAGGTTTGTCTATATAATATATATATGTTTGTTTTATATATTTATATATATAATATAAACATATATCTTGGTTTATACTTAATTTTAGTTTGTAGTAGGATCGTAAGCTTTGCAGTTTCCATCCCTATATACAGTAAAAGAGAGTATTGGCATATCTATATATCTCTATATATATATATATATGTACATTATTTTGATGGCTTAATCTAATATGTTTCCCAAAATGAGGTTTCGGATTTGTCTTAATTGAAGCACTAATTAGTCGAGGCTTTTGTATTGAGTTAATCTAGTATGTTTCCCAAAATGAGGTCTCGAATTCATCTTAATTGAAGCACTAATTGGTCGAGGGTTTTATATGGAGTTCAATATGATAGGGACTGAAGAAAAGATTAAGATAGAGACCTGTAATTTTAGTGTTTTATGAATAATAAATAAGGCTTAATGTTATTTAATTGAGTTAACACATCTTTTATTTATTTTTCGATGAAGAACACATCTTTTATTTAGGATGTGAAGACCACATGAAAATTTGAAGATATGAGGGATATGAAGTTGAAGAATGAAGATACGTACACACACACACACAAAACTGAACCACTGGGAAATCGACACGTAGAAAGCCATTATAGCTATTCTTGTAAGATTCCATATCGGCTTTTCCAAAGTTGTGCATGGCCATGTAAAACTGATGATGGACGTGAGCCTAACTTGCAACCACTGCAAGCAAGTTTTCACATGCTCTCTTTATTATCAATTCCCCACACAATTTTTATTTTTCGGCACAAAATAAATTCCTCATAAATTTATGGTATCTACTTCTCCAACGTGCTACCACATGGCAACACTCATCACTCAATATAATTGTCGATTTCTTTAGGGTTTTTATAGTTTTGTGTGTGCGAGAAATTAATCTGTTTTGTAGTTTAGACTATCGCTTGTACTCAAAATAGAATCTGAAGACTTTCAATTAAGTTGGTAAGTTGGTATTAACAACTTTAAACTCTTTAGATATTTTGTGGGTCGAGAGAAACATACAAAAACAAAGTTAGGTCGACTCGTCCTGGATGACACAGAAATTTACAGCTAACCTTAAACTTTAGCATCCAACCCTCATTCAAAGAAAAGGCTTATAAAAGAAGCTCGAGGGCCCATTTCTCCGGACTCTGCATTGCCAAATATGGCAAATATAATCGAGGACAGATCTTTGGTTGTTGCCCGAGGTCATACGAAAAGGAACTTCATCTCTCAGCCACTCCTTTTTTTCAGTCACATGTTTTATGTGCGCAATTTGAATTGATTGCAGAGCACAAACGATAACTATCACGTGGAAGATGAGGAAAAATCACATGTTGGGTCGGCCATGAATGTGGAAAAATTAACATGTGGACATGTTGACAGCAAAAATATCCCCAGGCCCATTGAATTAAGCAAGGCTACTGGTTTTATTTCACTAATGGGCCTTCTCTAATCTAATTTAACTTTTCGAACTAGTGCTAGTTTCATTTGGTTCCGGGTCTCGAATCTCGATCGGCCTGCAAAGGTATCATGGTGGTTCTAAAATGAGTGTTCATTTAGTAGATTTGGATATTAGTGAGCCGTAAAACTTCTATATTTCCGTTTCATTGCTTTATTCTTTCTATTTCTCTCATTATGTCACTTTTCAGAACATGAGAAAGATGAAGAAACGGAGAATCAAACGAGGGAAAGGGAAATATTATTTCTCCTAATATAGGCTTCGATATTTGTGATTAATTTGTGGGATGGTAATGGTGCCAACAAGGAACATATAAATGGCATGCAAAGTTATTATGTGATTCCATGATGACTAGTCTTGGACATATGTGATGTGAGGACGCATAGCAAACCGTAGTTAATTGGATGAAAGTGAAAGTACTTGGAAAGTCGACATTCAATACACAATGAATTATGCAACGGGTTCTTTTTCCTATCAAGGTTATCTTTCGTCTTCTACAATTTATGGTTAGCATGTGCAACAACCAAAGTCTCTAATTCTTTTCTTGTAAGGGTGTGCAAGGAAACATCGGATTTATCGACAATTTTAAAAGTGTTATATTGTCAAATTATCGATTAGAAGTTACCATGAATATTCTATTTAGTAAGAGGCTATTATATTCTTGATGAAAGTTGTTGGATTATTAAATGAGTTCTTCAAGTTGTGGTTTAATACATTATTTTAATTCACAATCCGACAACATTACATGTCACGAAACCGGTAAAGAAAAGACTATTCGATACCAACTACTACTAGAGAGGAAAATAAAGCTGATCCATGCTTGGATCTGACGGCCCATTATACAAAACAGAGGTGGGCTCTGGGTTGCCCATGCATGATCCCAAGTCTGGGTTTGGAGATGAGAAAATGGACATGATATAAGGCCCAACACTAAAATATGACAAGTTCTTAGTAGGTTTCAATGTAGTTAGATTGGCCCATGTTTGACCTTAAAATTTTGGTCAAACTACACTTTTGACCTTACATGAGTTATCCGCCCAAAAAAAATTGTGGCTACATGGTCAATAATTATGAATTATGAATTTGTTTTAAATATAAGCGACAATCTAAATTACAATAGTATGGGCATTTCTCACATGAGACCTAACAATGACATGTAACTCAATATCATTTTTCACTAGACTATACCCTATTAAATAATAATCTAAACTACAATAAGTGCCAGTTTGGTATTGCTTATTTTAAGTGATAAGTGATTTTTTTAAAATTATGGGAAGCCCAACCTATTTGGTAAACTATGAGAAAATCACTTATTGTTAAAAATTGCTTTGAGATAAAGCTATAAGGGAAAACAGCTAATGAGGTGCTTTCATTTTCTGATTATGCATAATTTAATTTCGAAGAGGCACTGGGTTTAATGATTATGCAGCAATTATTTTATGATTACGTGGAAATCAGTACCAACAACACTTTTAACAAAAAGTTTACCAAACACCAAATTGCTTTCTCTCACAGCAAATTTGATAGCAATTATTTTCATAGTACAGCGTCAAACTAGCCTAAGACCTTTTTTTATCTATTATTTAAACACTCACAAATTAATGAACCAAATATTATACTTTTCAAAGATATATAAGACAACGATATTATATCCATTGTACCTCTCAAAATGCAAGAACCAAATTTTTTTTGAGAGGATAAGTTCAAGAAATAAAACGTGTGGCAGAGACACAACGCAAGGCTCATCCATGATTCAGTTACACGAGGTGTTATGGAACCACTTGCCCCAATCCTCCTCCTGACATAGCTTGATCTTCCTTCGTTCCTTCCCCTCCTTCCATGCTCGTGCTCGTCGTCACAATTCCCAGTAACAACAATTGTTATGTTATCCATCACAACATGGCGTGATGAACTCATAACACGTGGCAGTAAATGACTCGCTGGGCTGACCCAATAGAACAAAAGAATGGTCCACCCACGATCGCAGATAGGGTCCCATCCCACAAATGAACCTCATCAACGGTATATGGCATACAATCCAATCCAGAAAAGAAACAAGAGCTACAAGGGTATTATGGTAAAACCGTGCATCTCTTGATCTGGCTGACATCACACTCGCGAGTCACATTCATATTTGGATTGAAGATTAATGAAAGTGTTGTTCATCTTTCTTGGGAGAGCCTTCTTCAAAGCAAGCTCTCCCTAGAATCAATCTCTTCAAATTACACACACCACCCAAAGGAAGAGGGGAGAGAGAGAGAGAGAGATGGGAAGGGCATTTCTGTATGTGATTCTCGGAGGAGGGGTGGCTGCTGGCTATGCGGCTCTTGAATTCACAAAGAGAGGCATCTCTCATGGTGAACTCTGCATAATTTCTGAAGAACCAGTGAGTTTTTTCCTCCCTTTCTTCTCATTTTGTTTTCATGGTATCCAATTTCTCAGAGCTAAACAATTCATGTCTTTGATGGGTATATATATGCTCTTCACAATTGGGTTATTGCTCTTTCGAACATTTAATTCTGTATTCGAATATAAAAACAGGAACACAAACATTAATTCTTATACTTTTCAAATTCCATTCTATGAGATATCAGTTAAGTTGATGGAAGAGAAGCCCAGGGCTTAGAATTGTATTGGAGAATGGTTGATATTCTAAAGAACAGCATTGGCGCTTGTATTAATCTGTATTTCAAATATTATTTTTAAAGGTGCTATCAGTTTATTGGATTTACAATGTGGACCTTCCCACCTATGAACACACTCACTTACATGATATATACTTATATAGTTCTAAATCATTGCATATTTTTTGGGTAGTTGTTCAAACCAGAGTGAAATTTTTCACATAAGTTAAAAGTTGCTTAAGGGAAGAGGGGAGATGATACGCATGTTAGGAAGATTTTGTCCAAAACACCTCTTTCTCATATAAAAAACCCAGTGAGGTGTTTCCTTTAAACTTTAGATATATTTGACTGATGAACTGGATCTGCAACAATAATTAAACATTGAACCGCCTTATTAAGTGACATACTCTTGAACTGGTCCTTTCCGTTGCCCCTTGCTAAATGAAATTTGTGTTATATATCAAACCTTGTATTGTGAGAAGAATTCATATCAAGTAGATAACCTGTTCCCTGCGCCTCTGTTTTACATGTAACGTTCTTTATTTTTTTATTTCTGGAATGAATTTGTAATATAAGTGATAAAAGTTTGTGCAAGTAAATTCCTTGATTTGAGAATATCCTTTTCAGGTGCCGCCTTATGAGAGGCCTGCGTTAAGCAAAGGCTTTCTACTTCCTGAAGGTACAGAGTCTCTTTCTCAGCAATAATAATATCTTCATTGTATATTGCTCTGAACTATTTTTCTTTCCCACATTTTTATTTATGCAGCTCTAAATTGAATGATCTTTTACTGTGATGTGCAGCACCTGCACGCCTTCCATCATTTCACACTTGTGTTGGTGCTAATGAGGAAAGGTTAACGCCTAAATGGTATAAGGAGCATGGTAACTATCTATGACTTCTTTGTTTCCTTTATTTATTTATTTATTTTTTATGTTAATGGGAATTGTAGGATGTGGTATTTCATCGAGAGAATATGCGTGATGCTTATGTGCTATGAAGTACAATGTTGTTTGTTCTTTCCATAATTAACTTTTGTGTTGTCTACGCGTTTGGTTTGACACTTGGTTCTCTATAGATAAAATCAAAATACACAACGAGATATATGAATAATAAAGTTGAATAACGTATCCTTCACTTTCCTTGTGTATAATCATTTTTATTCTTGTTCCTCTCTCGCTCTCTCTCACACATTGGGGAATTTGGGCCTTTTATTTATAGGGATCGAATTAGTTCTTGGAAGTCGAGTTAAGTCTGTTGATGTGAGACGCAAGACACTGTTGACAGGATCTGGAGAGACCATAAGTTACAAAGTTCTCATCATTGCAACGGGTGCTCGGGTATTGAAACTGATCTCATAATAGTCTTCTACCTTTTCTTGCTGCATATGTTCTGTTAAAGCTAAAAGTAGTAGAATGTGAAATGCAATTATTTTATACGCAATTAGAATGTCAAATACTGATTAAAAATGAGGATATTGTATTAGACCTATAACGCTAATAAACTTTTCTACATCTTTGTTAATGTGTTTGTATTTGACATTATTTTCAGAAAATGTGATCTTATCATTCTAAGGGTTATTTCCCAAGGACAGCATTTTATGAAAAATTAGCTTTCTTGCCATAATGGATTGATGTGTGTGTGCGCATGTGTTGAAAGTAGGCACTGAAGCTGGAAGAATTTGGAGTGAAAGGATCAGATTCTGAAAATGTGTGCTATTTACGAGATTTGGCTGATGCAAATAGACTTGTCAACTTGATGGAATCTTGCCCTGGTGGGAATGCTATTGTCATTGGTGGTGGCTACATTGGAATGGAGTGTGCTGCATCATTGGTGATCAATAGGATGAGTGTAACAATGGTTTTCCCAGAAGAACATTGCAGTATGTACTTTTATTCCGATACTGTATCTTCTTTGTTCATCGAGCTTTCTCGAATGCACCCTTTCTATTTGTGGTGAAAGAGTAGTTGTAAGCAAACATATCAACTTTTTTCTTTTAATTTTAATTTTGCAGTGGCCCGGTTGTTCACACCCAAGATCGCAAGTTTTTATGAAGAATTTTACAAGTCCAAAGGAGTAAAGTTTGTTAAAGGAACCATTTTGTCCTCGTTTGATATTGACTCGAATGGGAAGGTAAATGCTAAAATGCTTCTAATTTGAGTTATTATTGACTTCAAATGTCCTCACTTGAGTGTTTATACTCACATGCATGTTGGGTAAATTTTCTTTGAATCCAATCTTCTAATTGATTTGCTAAATTTTTGCTGGTAAACTCTTGCACAGGTCACAGCTGTTAATCTTAGAGATGGAAGTAGTCTTCCTGCAGACACGGTTGTGGTGGGAATAGGAATCCGTCCCAACACAAGCCTATTTGAAGGTCAACTTACACTGGAGAAAGGTGGGATCAAAGTGAATGGGAAGATGCAGTCGAGCAATAGTTCAGTCTATGCAGTGGGAGATGTTGCCACATTCCCAGTCAAAGTATTTGGCGAGTCCCGAAGGCTTGAACACGTTGACTCAGCCAGAAAATCCGCAAGACATGCTGTTGGTGCAATAATGGAACAAAACCAAGTGGGCGAATTCGACTATCTACCATTCTTTTACTCCAGAGTCTTCACCCTGTCATGGCAGTTTTATGGGGACAATGCAGGAGATGTGGTCCATTTTGGAGATTTCTCAGGAGGCACATTCGGAGCTTATTGGGTAAGAAACAGCCATCTTGTTGGTTCTTTCCTTGAAGGTGGTACCAAGGAAGAATATGAAGCTATAGCCAAGGCCACGCGGCTGAAGCCAGCGGTTGAGGACGTGGCCGAGTTGGAAAGGCAAGGCTTGGGTTTTGCTGTGACTGTTAGTGAGAAACCTCCACCGTCACCACCTCGTGAAGTTATTGGTTCTGGCATTGTTCTGGAGAGACCAATTTATGCATTCCATGCAACCGCTGGTGTTGTTCTGGCTGCATCAGTAGCTGCGTTTGCATTCTGGTACGGAAGGAAGCGCAGAAGGTGGTGAGCAGCTGTTTGTTCGGGTTGATGTATAATGATGTATTATACCCCCATGTTGTATGGCATTGATAGGTGTAGGAGATTTACATACTTCAAATATTTGGTCGTATTTATTGAAGCAAAACTGTAGTGGATTAATACAAAAATTATATACGTCCTTATACGAAAAATTGTTTCCCTTCATGGTCATCTATTTTGCTCAACCAAAAGAAAAACGGAAAAGACCAAAAAAGAGTTCATGAATGCGATGCAATGCAATATATATCTATGATGATCGATACTTCATTTTTACTAACTCCATTGAACTAGTGTAACTATGTTCATTTGTATTTTCTTCTTCCTTTTCTTAAAAAAATAATAATAACATAACTACGCAGGTAGCCGTTCAAACAAAGAAAGAAGAAAAGGAAAATGATGAGTCGAAACCTGTTTTTCTTGTTACTTATTTGATATTATAAAGAAAACTTCCCAAGCGGGCATTTGGTCTAGTGGTATGATTCTCGCTTTGGGTGCGAGAGGTCCCGAGTTCGATTCTCGGAATGCCCCGAGCCTGCGACCTTTACTTTTTGTTTTTCCTTTTTATGCCCCCGTACAAACGACAACGTAATTTACAATTTGCAGGTAGTTTTTATCAAGTCACAAGGGTAATTCCGTCAACTAAAAAAAACACCCGCTACATACCCCCATGGACACTAGTTTCAGAATTCCCCCTTATCCTATCTTCTTCTACTCACTCTTGCTTCTTTCTATCTCTCCCTCTCAGAGTCTCAGACCCAAAACTCAAATCCACACCACAGCAATGGCTGCCTCTCTATCTACACTCACATTGGGCACCCCATCTTATCTCAACACACCCGCGACCTCCTCTTTTCCTCCGCACACCCCCAAACCCAGCCTCCAATTCCCCTTCAACCCCCAAAACCCTAGCCTAACCCACCGTGCCACGCACCTCCGTCCCCTCGCGGCCGTGGCAGCCCCCGAGAAGATTGAGAAGCTCGGCGCCGACATCTCCAGCCTCACCCTGGAGGAGGCTCGCATCCTCGTCGACTTCCTCCAAGACAAGCTCGGCGTCTCCGCCGCAGCTCTGGCTCCAGCCGCCGCGGTGGCCGCGGCGCCAGGAGCCGCCGAGGGGCCAGCCGTGGTGGAGGAGAAGACGGAGTTCGACGTGGTCATCGAAGAGGTGCCGAGCAACGCAAGAATTGCTGTGATTAAGGCGGTTAGGGCGTTGACGAGCTTGGCGCTGAAGGAGGCCAAGGAGTTGATTGAGGGCTTGCCTAAGAAATTCAGAGAAGGGATTTCCAAGGACGAAGCCGATGAGGCGAAGAAGCAGCTGGAAGAGGCTGGGGCCAAGGTTGCCATTGTGTAATTTGTCTAATCGGTTTGGGTTTTTTTTCTTCAGTAAATGAGCTTCTGCTTTTTGTGTACTATTTGCACTTGTAGGTGTTAGTGATATGGGATTGTTCTCTTTCTTGCTTCTTCTTCAAAGTTCAATTTCAATGCAATTGGAATTGTAATTTTAAGGTGAAGAATTTGATTAATATGCTCTTTTAGTATGGTTTATTATGCTCTCTAGTTTTGCTTGATGGTAGAATTGAATTGAATGTGTATGTATGCAGTATGCTACATCTGTATGTATATAATATGGATTATGTTTGTGCTCAAGAAGGAAGGTAACCATTTCTTATGTACAAAAACATTAGGACAAACTACATAAAAAAAACCCTAAACTATAGGGGGTCATTTTCAAGTTCTTACACAATTTTAGAGACATTTACGAGTACATACTCAAACTCCCGGAAACCCTACAATTTATTATTTATCATTTATTTTATTAATTTGATTTCTTATGTGAAGTCCACGTCAATTAAAAAATAGGTTCCACAAATGCCACATCAGCATTTAATAGATTAACTAACGTTTTGGCTAACGGAGGGGGTAAATTGCAAGGTTTCCTAGAGTTTAAGTATGTACTCGTAAATGTCTCTAAAATTGGATATGAACTTGAAAATAACCCTATAGTTTAGGGGGTTTTATGTAGTTTGTATGGCTTTTGTTCAGAATGAGGCCAGCTAATCACGACAGTGAATCGGTCCCTCGCACTCAAGTTTGAATCCTCTCATTATATTAGTTCCCGTTTCGTGGAATTTGGGTGGTCCACGTTATTCATAATCCCTTTCATTCTTTCATTTTCAATTTGCAATTGGAATTGGAAACCAACCAAGGTCAGGGTGGGGAAATGGAAAAAAGAAAATATATGAAAATTGGTAAAATGTAACGCAAATGGCCCAAGTCTAAATGTCAAGCCCCTTTTTCCGGCTAATAAAAGAGCTAGCTAGCTTAGGCTTAGATCATCCCATTGACAGGACATGAGGTGTGTGTGTAATTGGTGGCTTGTAATTATTCCAACTTCGATCATCCCATGGATTCGCTGGAAAAACCTGTGCGTGGATATCATCCCATGGATTCGCTGGAAAAACCTGTGCGTGGATATTAAGCTAATCAACAAACAACCGAAGAAATAATTATGCAAAAGCTTCTTGCTATGCATAAAAAGCAAAAACTATAATAGAGAAACTTTCAAGCTAGGAGGAGATAACACTTATAAAAAGCAAGCAAACCGCCACTGACGACGACGCCGTTTCGCAAACGCTCGCTGGGATCGCCAATCAGCGTTGCCTTTTAATATGGGCTCCGTTCAACGAAGGCTAGAAGTGACACGTGGCGAATCATCCTAACATAGTACAACTCTTGAGCCGTTTGATGTCCCCAATGCCGCCACATCGAAACTGCAAACACATGCATACTCGTGGAGAAACAAACCCTTTGAATCGCTACAGAAACAAACCATACATGGCCCTAAATCCCGGCGAGTATGCTTCCTTAACGTACTCTTGCGGGTACCTATATTTCAAACCCAAATGTCAGCTTGCCGGGTACATAACGTGGAGATGGCCGCTCTGCTAGAAAAGGACAACAAAAACAAAATAGCCGCTTCTTCTCGCCCTCTTCTCTGCTACTCAGCTGTCAGCTCCCCACCACCGCCTCATATTCCAATTTCTCGCCACTTTACCACGATATTTTCCCTTTCACAAATTTCAGTTCTCTCTCTCTCCTCTTTTCTCTCTCTCTCTCACGCACACGGCGTTTTCAAAATTTGATTTTTAGTTTTCTCTCTGTGTGGAATTTGATTCCATTCCTTTCCATATTTTTTTTAATATTTCTCTGAGAATCGCTTCCTGAGCTTCAAGCTTTTGGTTTCTTCAGGTATACATATATATATATTTTTTCATTTCGTTTTTTTACTATTTATACGACTATTTTATTCCATGTATGCATTATTCTCGTCTGCTAGTGCACATTTAGTATTATATTAGTCCCATTTTCGAGCTCTTTCTTGACGAAACCAAAACCCTAGAATGTGCTGATTTACATACTTGCTTTTGTTTTTGCTTCTGGGGTTTGTATGCAATTCGTTTCAGCTGTAAAATCAAAGTCTGAGCTTGATTTTCTCGAGAGAAGATTGTCCTCGAAATGGGAGCGGCCCCAACACGATCTACAGCCGTAGAGGGTGGTTCAGCTTCTGCTCTTGAACCACCTAAAGGTCCAGATGCAGAGGAGAACACGATCGTCGAAGATATCAACGGCTCGGGCGGAACCCAGCCCGGTCCAGGGGGGTCCGGTCGAGAGAGCTCTGTTGGTGATGTGGGTAGCAGTAGGGTCGGTGAAGTGGTCAAGACTCAGGTAGTTGAGCCCAAAAGTTCGACTCAGAGAAGTTTTGGGGACCTGAATGTTGGTCTCTCGGATACTGAGGAGGGTGGGCTTGTAGAGTCGAGTTTGCTGAAACTGAGAGGGGGTGAGGGTAGTGTTGAAAAGTTGGAGTCTTTTTCGAGTAAGGAGAAAAAGGCGGTGACGGATGCTACTATGGCTATGGCTGGTGTGAACGGAGGGGTTGAAGAAAATGGGAGTTCTTCGGATGAATTTGAAGAAGACCAAGATGGGAAACATGAGATCATTGAGGGTAAGATTGGTGTGAACGGAGGAAGGGCTGAAGAGAATGATAGTTTTTTGGATGAGATTGAGGAAGACTCAGATGGGAGACCTGAGATCACTGAGGACATGGGTGACGAGGGACATGAGTTTTCTGTGGGAGATTTTGTGTGGGGTAAGATTAAGAGCCATCCATGGTGGCCTGCCCAGATTTGTGATCCTTCTGATGCGTCGGAGTATGCAGTGAAATTGAAATATAAGGACAGACTTCTTGTTGCTTATTTTGGGGACGGCACATTTGCTTGGTGCCATCCGTCGCAATTAAAACCCTTTGAGGAAAATTTTCAGGAGATGTCGAAGCAGAGTAGTTCCAAGGCTTTTGTTAATGCCGTGCAGCAGGCTGTGGATGAGATTGGAAGACTTGTGAAGTTGAAGATGAGTTGTGTCTGCGTAAAGAAAGAGTTTTTGAGTGATATTAGTCAACCCTTGGCATTGAATGCTGGAATTAAGGAAGGAGTTGTTGTGCCTGAAGGTAAAGTTGGGAAGTTTTTGGGTCATCTATCTGAATCAGCAAACCTTCTTGCTGAGTTGAAGCATGCTGCACAAGTTACATCCGTGAGTAGTGTGCTTGAGCTCACTGTGTTAAAGAGTTGTCTGTCTGCATTTTATTTTTCAAAAGGGAGGTATCAATTGCCTGTATTCTGTGAAGCCCAGCCAATTCCTGGTCTTGAGGATGATGAGAAGGCAGTGGAAGTGCCTGTCCAAGGGCCATTTGAAGACTGGCTTTCTTCTCCCGGAGGCGCAAAGACTGGCCAAACTGATCAAACATTTTCGCGAAGTTCACCTAAAATTTTAGAGGATAGGCAATATCAAAGAAGGAAGCAGAAAAGCATTGCTGATCTCATGGGAGGGGACGATGATATTCAGGTGAAAACTAAGGATGGCGGGATTATGGCTAATGAGGGAGCAGTATCAGAGAAACCAGAGCAGAGGAAGCGGAAAGGCAGTGAGAGTCATGATGAGAGTAATTTGGTTTCTGATGTAGTAAAGAGAAAGCTCAGACTCTCAAAGTCACCAACAAGCACTCTTACCAAAAAAAATATGAGTGTTGAAAATGATTGTAGCGGCAGCAAGGAAGAAAGTAAGAAGGGTCGGTTATCAAGGAGACGGAAGAAGGATGAGAGTTTTGGCATGGATAGTAATGATGGTAAGATGAAAGAAGAAACTGGTGACAGCCCTCTTTCAAGAGATGGGGAATTGCGCAGTGGTGGTTTACAAAGTGATATGAAAGACCAAATTGACAACCGCCCCTTGTCGAGGGAAAGGAAAAAGAGCAAGTACTTGTCCCCTCCGTTCACAAATCTTAACATGCTGAAAAGGATGCGAGACATAGAAATAGAATCTGAAGTTTCTAATGAAACTCAGTTAGGGGAGCGGGCTGCTTCTAACCTTATTGGGTCCCCTCATATGTTGAATTGCTGCACGGAGACATTAAAGAAGAAACACTCTACAGAACTCAGTCCTAAAGCACCAGCAGAAGATGAGGAGAAGAGCATTGATCCAATGAAAGCTAATGCATCAGCTAGTCTAGTGCTATCTGAACTCCGCTCTGCAGCTCTTAATCCATCATATCCAATCAAAAGGAAATCCTTTGAGATTTTTAGTGACTTTATGGCCATATTCAGAGATTCAATTTATCGCAATGGCTCCAACTACGAACTTTACAAGAACCGCCAACCTCATAGGAAGAGAAAGAATTTAATATCTGAGCCTGGGTCACTGGGGAAAGACCCAAGTCAAACCGCAGAAAATGTACCTGACGGTGAATCTGGGCACAAGAAAATCAAGAAGAGCTCTGATAAGCCTATAGGAAAGCATGCTGCTGGAACACCGGATTTGAAGACAAGGCGGAAGAAGAGGGATGAGAAAGCTTCACCTGCATCCCTTTTTGTGACATTTGGCCCTGGTTCCTCTCTGCCCACGAAAGCTGATCTTATCAAGATATATAGTAAATTTGGAGAGCTGAATGAAATGGAAACTGAGATGTTCTACAACAATTTCTGCGCTCGGGTTTCCTTCTTAAGGATCTCTGATGCAGAAGAAGCCTTCAACCATTCGCAAAATGACAGTCCGTTTGGTGCTTCCAATGTCAACTTCCGGCTCCACAATCTCTCGGCTGCTTCGAAGGTCCGTGAACTGAGTGAAATATCCAATTCTCCACCAGCTAAGTCCAGGGGCAAGACCAAAAGTCAGGCAGTAGGAACAAACTCACAGCCCCCTGTTGATGGTGAGGCGTCACAACTCGACTTCATTAGGCATAAACTTGAGAAGTTGACCTCAATGCTGGACAATTCGGATGGTAAAGTGTCAGCTGTAACGAAATCCAAGTTGGAGAGTGAGATAAAAGAGTTATTGGAGACGGTAAGCACAATGGTTGAATCTTCATCTTAGATCGGTTCACTGTTTGTATAATGGACCTTTTTGTTTCTACACACAATCCCTAGTATGTCATATAAGCTAGTGATCCATATGTAGGTTTAGGGATAATATTTCTACTTTCTTTTTGGATGCTTGTGGATGAAGTTATGAACTAGTTTCTTCAACTTATCAATATAGAGATCAACAGGAGCTTTTGGTGAGAAGCAACTCTCAGTGTTGATTTTCAGCCACCAGTTTCAGTTGGATGTAAATTTCACTTCTTTTTGTTTCAACTCCTACACCAAACAATACATGAGCACCTCTCTCGCTATTGAATTCTCCTCGGTCGGGTTCACAATTCTTTAAAACGTTTCGAAATAATTTGCTCTAGTTATCAGAAATATGCCTGTACTGTAGCCAAACTTTCAAAAGCGGGCCATAAAGTGCCTTTGACAAAAGAATGCCTTTATACTTATGCTAATCATGATTCAAAAAAGTTGGGCAACGAGCTAGCCTGTGACTTGGGTTGGTTTTTCCCACAACTCACAACATTATATCTCCAATTCAAAAAAGCAACGAGCATGGCAAAGACATCATCATATTAAGCCAATATTATATGATAAACAATAAAGCTCCTAATATTATATCATAAACAAGAAAGCTCCTAAAATGAACGCCCAAACTAACACAAAATATCCAAGTTCCTTCGTACATTTCGCCGTAATTCTTCGTCTGTGCATAATTGCAAACAGAAGCAATACATCTAATTTGTTCCCAGTTGGTGTTTAGGTACACAAGGGTCTGATGTAGAAAGTGACTGGACAGAATTAAAGAATTCAAACATGCACATTCCAGGAAAACTCAGTCATCAACAGGATCCTGAGGTGTTTCCTCTGCGCTGCGCTTGATTGTGATCACAGGGCACTCAGCATGCTTCACGCAAAATTCACTCACTGTCCCAACAAAAACCCTGCAGAGCAAATAAAACAGGGAAACTTTCTTAGTTAAGTGGATAGCCTTCAATAATATGATAGGTATATAAGCCAACTCTGCTTCAGGGCTATCAGAATATATATGAAAATTGCAAAAGATGTTAGAAAAGGATGTCGGCAATGTAATAATACTAATAACTGTGGTGGAGATCAGGCATGTGTATATAAAAGGCAAGCACTTAAAGCATACCTCTGGAAAGGACCAAGGCCCCGGCAGCCCACAACCAGAAAGTCTGGCCGCACACGCTTCACCTCATGACAGATTACTTCCTTGGGATCCCCCTTTTTGATCCATGCTTCACAACCAACCTACAAGCATTCCAATATATAGATTTAAACTTCAGAATACTAAGTTGTATGTTTCAGATGCGATTATTTAATAATGCTGTCCCAAAAGACACACGTCAGTACCTCAATTGCATGACATCTTTCAACAAAGAACTCCAGCAGATGAAGCCCTCTGGCGCGGTCTCTATTCCTCAGATTTTTGAAATCCTCAGGTGATGCATAGACACTGTCCATGTCATCAAAACCTATTATCGAAACAGGGCACAACATATTATTACAAGTATGGTGAGGAACAATGGTTCAAAGTTGAAACAAGTGGCAGGATCACATCGTAATAAGAAGGAAAAAGGATAAGAAAGTTTCTGAGCAATGGAAAATGAAGTGTTAAGCATGCTCAAACACAAGAATATACAAAAGCTCAACTAGATACAATATAAATGGACTATATGCATATTCATTCACATTTTTCATATAACAATGAACTCAAATCAATTCAGGGTCATAATTTCTCTATGTTATGATCATGGTCGATACTTGAGGACCACAATAACAACAGTTATGATGATGATGATGATACTTGGGTCACATAACTCATTTTAGAATGACAAGAAACTACATGATTTAAAATGAAGTCACCATAACAAGCCAACTTTGAGAAACAATCATATAACCCAAGGGAAATTGTACAAAAAGTGGTCAGATCTTGTAACCGATCAAACTCAATATTGAACTCAAATTACAAAAACTCACCACTTAAACGAACTAGCAAATTGACTATAAAATTGAAAGAAGTGGCAGAAAGCTTAAAAAGTTATCAAGCACCTTTCATACATACTCAATGCCTCCCGTTTGGTACCAAAACTTACTAACGATTTCTTAATTACGATGAAGATTATATCAAATCAATGATCATCACCGACTAATTTCAATTTACAAAACCAAATGACATCAACTTACTGATCGCAAAGCCAATTTTTCACTCACACATAATCTGCGATTCTTTTAACATTTTCCATTAGAAAACTATAGGTTCGGTTTTGACTTCCCTATCCTTTCAATTTTTGCTTCCGTTTCCTCCATTTTCTTTGCAATCAAATCAAGCATAGCACAAACATAAGTATTGAATGGGAACAACAAAAGAAAAACAGAAAGAGAGAGAGAGAGGACCGTCTTCGTCAGGGACTTGGACATGAAGGAAGAGGAGCTTGAAGCCAGAGGTGTTGGAGCGGACGATCTTCTGCAGAGTCCACTCGAAGGCCTTTCTGCTGCTTATGGAGGCGTGCGGGTACCCCTTGATCGTCGACTCGTTCACTGCCAGCATTATCCGAGTTGGCTCACCCTCCATCTTCTTCGCTCACTGAGTCACTCCCTCGCTCACCTCCAACTCTATCTCTCTCTCTCTGGTGACTAAGTCGGTAAGCAAGCTGAAACACTGGCTGCTCTATTGTTTCCCCGTTTTGTATTTAATTTGCAAGCCATAAACCCGAGTGCGCGCACCACTCATTGGGGCGTACGATAGTTTATATTTACAAAAGGATGCTAACATGCGCGCTTCTGTTACTGCCAGTCTGCCACCCGGCAATATATAAACCCAGGTGTCATTTGCCATGGTTTGCCAAAAAATTGGCGGGGCGTGAAGTGTCTTTTCAGTCTCTCAATGAGTCACCGCCAGTCCGATCCTTTTTAATTACCAAATTGCCATCGAATTTTTTTATTTATTTTTGGAAAAATTGCCTCCATTCTTTCTTTTTATTTTCCTCCAGAAAAAAAATGCCCAACCATTTTTATTTTTATTTTTATTAGTCGTTCAATCAAGGTACTTTAAACGTGTATCACATCATCCCGAAAAAAAAATAAATTTGTATCACATCACAGTATTTGTGACACAAGGAGAAAACGCGTGTCCCTACATAATTGATTGTCCCATTCTTATTACTGTTATAAACCATTATATTACATGATAATTTCTTTTTGGTAACGAAATATACCTACAACTAAAAACCTACATAATAAATAATTAATACAAATATGCACCGTTCAATTATGAATTATATTTTTTCCAATTGAATTATTATTATTTTAAATGAATATTATATAAATCAAACATAGAAGTGAGGTGGACATGAAGCTACTCGAAAATAACAAAAAGTGGAGTAAATTATTCTTATTTGGAAAACAAGTGTAGAGGGTATTACATTTTGTTTCCGAGTTTATATAGAAAGCTCTTCCTCTTCGTTTATTGATAAAGATGCAGTTTTACAATCAAATTAAGAATGGGTTTTTAATTAGTCAATTAGAACTTAATTCAAAATGCATATATGAGCTTAGTCAAATTGGCTAGACGAACGTACTTCTCACTTTGCACCCGAGTTTGAATCCGCTCCAGTAAGTTAAATTAGATTAAAGTAGAATATTATTTGTATAAAATAAAATAAAAAAACTTAATTCAAAATATTTGCCTTGCATTGGGCCTTTGGGCATGGTTCAACTCCATATTGGGCTTTTTTTCTTTCTTCCAATAATCAAATTGGGTTTGTTTGTTTTTTTTACCGTAGGAAATGGGCTTCTTCATTGTCTGCAATAATCGGGAGTCATTTTATAGTGAGGGCCTTATATATGGCCCTTTGGTGAGGTCCTATTCCTTAGCCGTTTGATCAAATTAATTGCCCTGATCTAACGGTTAAGAGATAGAACCTCACCTAAGGGTCATATATAAAGCTCTCATTATAAATTTCTTGCAATAATCGGATGGTAATTTGTGCAATAAAAATCAAATAAGCCGACTGAGATTCTTTAGAATCCGAACTAAACTTCAAATTGTTTTCCGGGAAAAGGTAGGCAAGTGCGAGTTTTCTCTTGGCAGCAGGCAACCATATTTCCTCTATGAGTCTCTGCAATAAATTCCCACCATTTAAAGACAAATAGGATAACGATTACTTTAACAGCAAGAAAATGAAAATACAAAATGGAAAATTGGAACAGAGCTTTCTTTTTTAAATTCAAATTTTATGGAATTTCCAATTATAAAATTATCTCTACTCCATAAATGTTACATTATGAATATACGAAGGAAAGTAGTAATAGTGATACACGTATATATCTCCCAAGTGTACAAAATAAAACCAACCAAGGTATACAATAAATTATCTTCCCTAATTGGCCTTACCCAGAGATTGCATACCACTGAAAGACACCCTACCAAAACCCAGATGACCAATCTGGTACAATTCTAACCAAACCCTCTCTGCCTCCAGCCTGGCACTCACACACTCCATTTGCTCTGATGAAATTTCTGGCATTCTTTCCTCTTCTTCTCTCTCCACCTCACACTGACGATGGTGATCATCATCATCATCATCATCAATACTGCTGCATTTTCTCTTGCTTTTACGCTTTTGCCCCTTGGATTTCCCCAGTCCCAAACACTTCCTGCCCACCATCCAGGGCACTTTAACGAAGGCAAGAGTGAGAAGATTCAGCAAAGCGCAGGGGCAGCAGCAGAGTGCCACGCAGTCGGCTATCAAAGCGCCGCTGCATGACTTGCAATACTTGCCAGAGCACTCGATCCGGTCCCCCGCGTCATCCACGGCGTACCGGCTCTTCCTTGGGGTTGTGTGTCCTGCAGCTGAGGATGTGTCGCCCTGATGATCGGATGACGTCCCGCGTTTACGTGACGACCGAGGTGGGTTAATCTCGTCCATCTGGATTATCTGACCTGCAAAAAATGATGAGAAAACTTTCAACTCCGATGAATTTGTATGCGGGTGCTGGGTTTGGAATGAGGAGCATATATCTTGATACCAAGTTTATATGGGAGAGGGCTTTCCAACTTACCACGTAAGGGAATATGAAAGATATTGCTTCATGCATTTTTATCTTGTTAATTACACAAGGGTAAAAGGGTCCATGTAAATATTTTGAAGGGAAGAACGATATAGAGATTCACTCGCAGCCAACTCGATTGAGCCCACTTCGATAGGCTATTGGAAATAAGAAGGAAAAAACACTTGTCTTGACGGTATAAGTTATATAATTAAGGATCTTTCTTCAAATAATACTTGTATTTGGTTTTGTATTTTCGTTTTTAAAGTGTTACGTAAATTTAAGTTTGATTTGTATAATTGTAAGATCCATTGAATAACTTCCCTTTCATCCTCAAGATTTCTCTGATATAACCGAGATTTAGGAAGAATAAGCAAAGATGACACACCAAATCAATATATGTGCTAAATCCCTAATTGAATCACATCCAAACCAAATAAGTCCTAACTAAGCTATCTATCTACTAACCCTAATATTTCCTTAGATTTGAGTACTGAGAATATCTATAGATCTAGTGTTCGAGAAAATAATATACAATTGATTCCAAATTTATTTTACAATCTTACCTACATTTTGTTCATTAAAGGAAGGTTTAATACTATCCAACTTTTTTTCTTTGGGACTGAGCGATTTCAATTTGACTGGCTCAGAATGTTTTCAAACTCTAATAGTACTTAGGGTGTCACCTAAATCCCTTGTTTTCTTGGAATTTTTGTGTACGAAACATCCATGCTGTGACAGAGATTACATATAAAACTTACCTACAAAGTAATGGATGTACAAAAATGTTTTCTTTTTTTCACTGGTTTTGGCAGATAAAACCAAAAAGGGCTTGAATGACAGATATACCCTATTACCATGGTTTTTCATGTGAAGTGACAGGCAATGCGAATGAGGCAGCTGTTCACTACTTCACTGGCGAGCCAGGGCAAGTTGGTAAAATGGAGTGGTGTTAAAGATGAGAGAAAGAGAGAGATACTGCAGAGCAGTAACTCTGTTTTTCCTTGAATGAAAAAGGTGAGGTTGAAAATGGAAATGAGAGTGAGACGAGACACGTCAGGCAGAGGCCAAGTTTATGAATAAGTTTCCCTCAATGTGTTTTCGTGAAACGAACGATCACTTCATGTCCCATGCCTAATTTAGCTCTGGAGCAATTCCTGCTCTGCCCTATCACGCCCACAGGCCCTTTAGCGTTGGGCCCATTGTCCTCTTAAGTGCGGGAAACACTTATATCAAACGGGAATAACATTATTTTGCTATTTTCGATTAATCACATTATGTCATGCGTGATAAATTTTCCATGTAGCAAACTGTGATTGACTATGAATAACAAAACAATGATATTCCCGTTTCACAAAAGTTTTTCTGCTAAGTACGCCAAACTTAATTTCCTAGGTCCGTCAAAGCGTAACCCATCAAGTTATTGAGTTTTATCTCAAAAAGTCTCGGTACAATTTAGAATGATGGTTAGCTCAACTTAATTTACCCTTGTATGGACAATTAAATTTTGAACAATATCCACCGATTAATCACAATTCGACATTCTCTAAATCTCATTATAAATCATCTGAGCCATATCTCACCTTTAAACAAGAATCATCTCATGTGCAACTTGACCTCGAACCTAATTCTTTTGAGGAGAGCTTCAACCTAGTTTGTATCTCTTAGGGGTCTATAAAGCTACCCCATTCCTACCGTTTATTTCATGACTTCATCTTCACCAATGAATTGAATTTCTCAAAGAATATAACTTTCATTTTTTCACACAATTATTCAATTTATTATTTCACTATCAATTGCATGTTAATCATAATCATAACCAGTGATGCATAAAAAAGCATGCAAATGGGCATTCTTTACTTTCCAAAATAGAGTTCTTGACTCAAGTACTTGGCTTTATAAAAAATAAAAAATGATACCTCTAGGCATATGCCGAAAGCCATGTGCAAAAGGAAAATGGAGGTCGGCCTCTTTATCCCGAAAAAGACAACTGATGAAAATTGAAATTTTTGTCCGAATGGAATTTAATTGGAAATGATACCTTAAAAGCGTGACAGAGGAAGAAAAAAAAAAGGTGGGATGGTATCAATTTCCCTATATGCCGAAAGGTATACTTGATTTTAATAATGCAGTGTCAAAATCAAAGTGATGATCAAACGAGACCCAAATTGAAGAAATAAAAAAAGAAATTCTAAACACAGATGGGGAGATAAAAAGAGCATGGAAGTTCACATGGGGGCATAAAATATGCACCCAACTTCTAAATGGCTCGTGATGTGATGAAAACAGCGTTATTTTTTTTTTATTAAAAAGGGCAATAATGTACTAAATTCACATAAACTACACGAATACTAGGACTCAAACTTATAATCTTGTATGAAGGGAGTAATTGTTTCAAAGCACGACACTAATGGGTGCTTTGCAAATAGCGTTAATTTTGAGGTGAAGTATAAAGTAATGCAGTATTTTTTAAAATAATGGCACAATGGTGTTGAGTGTTTTGACTAATACTTTTTGAAAATATAAATTCCATCATGTTGGGCAAATGCCATGTCTTGGAAGCCGAAAGAATCATTTCATCAAACAAACAATAATCAAGTCATAATCTTGTATGAAGGGAGTAATTGTTTCAAAGCACGACACAAATGGGTGATTTGCAAATAGCGTTAATTTTGAGGTGAAGTATAAAGTAATGCAGTATTTTTTAAAATAATGGCACAATGGTGTTGAGTGTTTTGACTAATACTTTTTGAAAATATAAATTCCATCATGTTGGGCAAATGCCATGTCTTGGAAGCCGAAAGAATCATTTCATCAAACAAACAATAATCAAGATTGGCAGAGAAGAGATTCTATTGTAATGCGAAAATCAAGAGATGGGATTTGTGGATTTGAGTTGTTGAATAAGAGAAAAAGAGGAAGGGATTAATTAATTAAACATGGAAAAGAAGAAAGTCATTGATTCAATTTTGAAAAAAACAAAGTATCATAATCCGGTTAGATTTAGAATTTGAAGGAAGAAGCATGTATATTATGATTATTATAATTTATTGAGCTTTTTCTGAAAGTAGAAAGTTGAAAGAAACAAGACTTTCTTTCTTCTCATCTCCTCAAGTCTCAAAGCAGATGGGCTTACAACAAAAAGGTTAGACATTAGTGGGACCGATCCACAGTGAAATAATCAGCCAATCAGCAATTAGGTAATTAGAAAGAGTGAATAGGAGCAGATAATGCGCGTAAGGAAAAGATTGAAGAGAAAACAGAGGTGAGCAAGAGCTAGAGCTGGCTTGCACATTTCAATTGCATGAAAATGTCGTTGGAATATATTGAAATGCAGAGAGAGAGAGAGAGAGAGAGCACATTCTTAATTACTTGACATAGCATAAGCAACATTAATTAATGCAGGTGCAGTGCAGCAGGTTGATTGATATGGAAAAGAAAATAATAACAACTGACCTCAGGACCTGGACTGGAGAAGCAAGCAGATCAAAGCTTCTTCACTTTCACTGCAACTAAGTCCAGGAAGATTCTTGTCTTGTTGGTGATGGATTAGAGCTCATCTCATGGGTTGGGTTGGGATATCAGAAAGAAAGCTCTGTGACTGTATATGTGTAGTAATGGAAGCACAACAAGCTTGACCGATCTGATCTCAAATGCCCGGATTATATATAAACTTTTCTTTGTCTAACATTTCTGCAACTGCAAGCAGAATCACTCTCTCTCTCTCTCTCTCTCTCTCTCTGCTTTTATTAATCTATTGTTTACTGACTTACAAAAATTTGTTAATGAAAGCAAAAGATTTTCCTTATAAAAAACTCTGGAAGACAGAATAAACAAATTAAAAAAAAGTACTACTACCATCCTCAGTCATAAGTTAACAAGGAGAGAGAGAGAGAGAGAGAGCTAATCGTTGTGGACCTAGATCTAAGAAGCCCTATTTTTTTTTCATAGATCTGTTTAGGGTTTGGTTCTTAAGCAATATTAAAATGGGCTTTGGGAAATGATATGTTTGGGTGAAAAAAGCCATAAATGCCTACAAATACTAAGAATAACAAAAAAAAAAAGCCCAAAATGCTACAATATATTTATAATTTTCAATTTTTTTATTCAATTTTTTTTGAAGTTTTATATATATTTATATATATTTATTTTTAGGTTAAAATTTCTAATTAAAATTAAATATTAAAATAATTATTTTTTAGTCCGACACATCACCAAACATAGGTCTTCACTATTTTTACAATCCAGCTTCTTAGTCCGATGCAGCACCAAACGTAGGTCAGTACTTAATCCAGCTTAGTCCAATCCTAGCTAGTCCAAGACAGTCCCAGGATTTAGTCCAGTCCATGACAGTCCGCTGTACCAAACGACCCCCAAGGGTCTACTGGTGTACCACTACCACCAGCCCAAAACCAAACAAAAAAACCATAAAGACGAGCATAACCAAACATAAAACATTATGGCTTTTACATTTTTGTACTCGCGCCCTTTTTAGTTGGTTAAGGTTTAGCTAAGGAGGTATAGGCCCATAAAAAATGGGCTCATTTTGCATGTCCAACTTCTTAATTTAGGGTTGGGTTCAACTTAGATGTTAAACCCTAAAGGCCCATAAACAAATGCCTATAAATTCTCGCAAGCAGCCCTCCCTGACTCATACTGAAAAACCCTAGTCTTCCTGACTTTCCTTCGGGAGACCATTTCTCTCCTCTCCTTAGCTTGCCTGCTTGCAGCCGCTTCTATTTCTGCTTCTTCGTCATCTTCTCTATCTTCTTCTTTGTTATTCTGAATTTGATTTCGTTTATTTGAATAGACTTGTGGGTTATATGTTAATCTGGCAACGATGACGAGTGCTTAAATTTCTGACACCTCTTGTATGAGAAGGGCCTGTAAAAGGGCTCTTCCTTGAGCACAGTTAGCAACTCTCTGAGCCTCACCCTTTTTCTTTCTTTCTTTCTTTCTTTACTTTTGTTTTCGCAATCACCCAGATAAATTGTTATTAATACTTTGTTTCATATTTCTTTTATTTCTCTGAAAGATTCATTTTTGATTGAGAATATTTTTGCCCTTGTCTATTTGCCCAACATTTTTTTGAACTACAAAGATCGTTTTGTTTTTGAACTTTTAGTTGTTCTCTAAAACACTGAACAATCTACACATTTTCTATCCCAATTTTTCAATTTGGAAGTAATTGGCTTTTGGATTCATTGCTTTTGTTGGTAGAATGAGAACCCAACTTAGGTTATTCTTGCAACAATTTTATTTGATCTTCTTCATTAAGATTTGCCAATTGCAATACATATGGTTTTGAATTGATGTAGGATGCTAATATAATCTCTCTGGTTTAAGACGAAAACACGAAACAAACACGGATACTTACATTCATTTCTAAAGTTTCCAAAACTTTCCATTTTGCATTGCTCAACCTAAGCCCCAACGGGAAATAATAATATCAGGATGGAACCTAAATGTAATGCTGGCTTTGGTTATAACAGTATCTCAGTGATCCTGACAAAAGGTTTGTGAGCTTCCTATTGGACAATTCATATCGAACTTGGACATTGATGGACCCGTTGCCCATAATCTTGTTCTTCGACATGCTTGTCTCCTCAGCCAACTTTTCTGCCACTTCCTCTGTTTCAATGACTTGATCGAAGCAAATGTATCTCCCAAATGCTGTCTTGTTCATTGCCTCAAACACGCGCACATGCGCGTTTGCCAATCTCATCATATCTACTGTGGCTAGCAGCCCACTTTGGTACATTTCTTGGGATCCTGTAATCATATTTACACAGTAAAAAAAATGGAAACTAGAATTTGTGTTTGTGTATGCATTTTGGAAAGCAAAGGTGTGTTTGATGAATGATGATGGGTACCTTTGAGATATGCAATTGTTGCTGTTGGGTTTCTGGTAGAGAATTCAGGACCAGTGATGAGAGCTGGGCAGATGGTTGCCAACTTCATCCCCTTCTCCTCAGCTATTCTCCATGCAGCCTTCTCAGCCCTCAGCTTGCCCAAGGCATACCAGAGCTGCCATTTTTTTTTTTCAAATGAAGTTAAAATACTAATAATTTGTCAGCAGAAAAAGAAAAAGAAAAAAAGAGGGATGTAATTTGGATGAAAATAATACCTTTTTGTCTATACAAAGTGACTCGCTGCTCCAGCAGTCATGGTTAATTACAGGGGAGGGGTCATGCAGGTTGCTGCTGTCTTGCCATACGCAGGCTAAAAGTGAAGAAGTCAGCACACATTTTCTCACAGAAGTTGTCAATGAACATGCCTTCATCACATTCTCACTGGCCTTCACTTCTATCTCAGCCATGGATTTCTAATCACATGATTCAAAAATGTTAACAAATAGTCTCAGCCATGGATCTAACAAATAATCATGCCAACAATATATGTATAATTGAAGTCCAAGTTATTGAGTGGGATGAAGTTTTTCAACTTGTGTTTGAGTGTGCGCTAGGAATTCCAATTACTTGCAAGTATAATTGGTTTTGTCTGAATGATTTGGAATTTGGTAAAACGTATACATCTCTAGATTGACACTAAATTTGATAGAACTCGCTCACAGTGTAACCAGAGACGCCAGCGGGGTCAGTGAATGCAGAGGTGTGGAAGACGCCACAACAGCCATGGAATGCTTGAGATAAGCTTTCAACATCTGCTAGATTTGCCATAACTGCTGATATCTTATAATTATTGGTCCTTGTCCTCATCTCCCCCAACTTTTCTACATCTTCTGCAGAGACCACATGATATATATTAAATATATAATAATAATAACAAAAACTTGTTTGCTTGCAATCATACCAAAAGCACATAGACACATACGCGAAAACTTAATTACAAGAATAGTTAAAAGCTAAATCAATAGGACTGCAATCAAACAAAACAAAACAAAACAAAAATGAAGAAGACAATGGAAACTTGATCGAAATCCAAGTTTTGACCAAATTGTTTGAAGTATTGAAGAAACGAAAGCGACCCGAACGTGCAGTTTGTTAATTACCTGGGTTATCAACGAGGATGCGGACAGAGTAGCCACGGAGGAGGAGGCGGTTGACGATGGCGAGGCCTAAGAAGGAAACGCCGCTAGTTACACAAACCAATCTGTCTTCTTCTTCGTCGTCGGTCAAGTCGTTGGTTTTGGATGGAAAACGCAGGTCGTTGGGTTGATGTTTTGTGCGGTGGAGGCCTGCGGCGGAGGCCACCAGCATACGACAGAATTCCTGTAACTCAACGTTGTCCCTCTCTTCTAAAACCACAATTCCCATTTTGGATTTGATCTAAGGCTAATAATATCAGTTGGCCCGTTAATTATCTGCCTTCCCCTGGTTCTTCTCTTCTTCTCTTCTTTTCTTCTTTTCTTCTTTTCTTCTTTTCTCAGGCACAGACACAGACAGTGACAACTGACCACGCTAGAAAACTCACAAGACAATATATTTCAGAGACAGACAGAGTGTTATTATTATGTAACTAATATTCTGTTGACCAAAAAAAATAAATTATGTAACTAATATTCTATAATCTCTAGTCATGCAAAGCTCACTTTAATCTCATACCTCATAAAAAACTGCCCACAGCCTAACAGTCTAGAGCTAGCTAAGCTAACAGGCTTGCCTTGGCTTAGCTAGCCAGTTAGCCTTACTTTTACTCTTTAGCATTTGCAAATTTCAATAAATCAAATTAACAACGGTGCTATTATTTCCAATTTATATCCTATTTTTTCACTCACCTTATTTTTAAAATTTTAAAAATAAATTTACTCATTTGTAAAATGACTTTTAATAAGAACTTAGGGAAAAAAACCTCAACTCGTAACACATATGTTTTCTATTGCTCTCTTATGACTCCTCAATTGCACTTAATAAGATAAAAAATAAGATTAAACAGTTTCAAGTATTAATTCATAGTGCTTGCAAAATGGTGCCAAGTTTATGAATAACTAGATAACTGCAAAGTTGGTTAAGCAGGCTCATATTAGCTAACGGTGCCTCAAATAGTTTCATAACAAACTTAAGTCACAAAATTCTCTTTATTGAATCATCAATTCTACTCATGGGAATGGTTTTATGTTTTACCATGAAGGTTAAACCGTCAATGAATTTTGTGTAGTTGTATATAGAACCATGACCTGTAACATGCATAAAAATAGGTGTTAGAAGACAAATAACTAACATCATAATGTTTACTGTATCACCACGTCAGCTGGTGATACTCCCACTCAAAATATGCCATGTGTCTTAATTTTTTAACAACTCAAATTTTATTTTACACCTGGAATTCAACCTAATTTTAACCCTTTAAAATAAAATTAAGAAAATAAGAAAATCAAAAGAAGAAGAAAAAAGAGCAGAGCCACCGCCCACCGCAATACGCCAACCCCGCGCCGCCTGCTCTGGCCGTCGTCCCTTCCCTATCTTTTATCTCTCTCTCTGTTGCCCTTTTTTTAACTTTCTCAACCTTTCAGTGACTATCCCCTAGATCCATACATATTTTCTCGTTGATGAAGGTTTCCCTAGCAGATGTGATTCGCGAAGAAGATTGGGATGGGAGGTGGGTGTATCATATCAACCGTAACACAATCCCCAAAACCCAACAACGCCCTTTAGTCTCACAAACGACACCCCGACTTGAGTCTTGAGGGGCCGTCAATCATGCTTTACCATGTCACCATCCAAATGCTTATTAGATCCAATATAATACCTAATCTTCTTTGTGATACATGGTTGCAATAATTTATTGGGCTATGGGGATTTGGCTTACTCACAAGCAGAGGAAGAGGAAGATCTGGGTGGCGTGGGGGTTGGGGTTGGGTTACTGAGATATTCTCTTTTCTTTTTTCCTTTAAGTTTTTTTTTATTTTTCTAATTTTATTTCAGTGGATAAAAATAAGTCTAGCTGTAAAATAAAATTTGAGTTGTTAAAAAATTAAGACACATGGCATATTTTGAGTGGGAGTATCACCAGCTGACGTGGTGGTACGGTACCATTCTATAATTTCTCGAGTAGAGACTCAGTGGCGTGAGGTGGAGAGGTGTAATTTGCTTGAATTAATAATTAAAGGATATTTTGGGAATAATGGTGGATGAAAAGATATTATTGTGTTTTTTCATATTTACATGATGGGTGGTAAGATAAGATGGATGAAAATAGTAGCACTCATAATGAAAATGTTATTCAATCTCTCATTATTCAGCTTTCTTTTTGTTTGTTTTTTAAATTAATAAAATACTAATTTTGGAGTGCTGTGAATAGTAGCAGGCTGCTTTAAATTTAAAAAAGAAGAAGAAGGATACATTCAATAAATAATGTGATGTGAAGCTTTTTTGAAGTAAAAAAAGTAGAGTATTGTTAAAAATGAGAAAATTGATATGGCTTGGCTTGGCTTGGCTGGGCTTTAGGTTTGAAGAAGGGCGGGTTTGTGGCGGCAAGAGCAGCTCACGTGTTGAATGACAAGTGAGCACGGGATATCATCTACACACCACCACCACACACGCGAGACGAGAGTTAGTTGCCACCATTAAGATCGTAACTAACACGTATCTGATGTGACAATTATATCATTAATGTAATTAAACTTTTTGGACTTTGTTTTAAACTTTTTGGACTTGTACAAGTAAAGTCCAAGTGTGGACCACCACACTCTAATTAAATATTTTGGGCTTAGCTTAGCTGGGCTTGAAAAATTTAGGCCCAAAACAAACAGAAAATAAATCAACTCACACTGAAAAGAAAAGAGAACAAGGTGAATTTACAGCAGTCTGGTCGAGTCCGCTGGTGTAAAAGTCGTCTTGAGGGCGTAGAGAATCTCAGAGATAGTTATGGGCAGCTTCCCTGTCCCCCACAAGAAGCTCTCCTTGGAAATTAAGGTATTTTATTTTCTGCTTATTCATGTTCGATCAATTACACTTGTTTGCTTCATTGTCTTCTCCAATTTTGTTTCTGCTACTCTGCGACTTCCGCGTTACTAAGCTATTGTTGTTGTTAGTTGCGTTCGAAAAATCGGGCTAGGCGGGCTAGGCGGAGCTGCTCTTATTTTTATATAGAATTTTTTTTTTCTGACTTTAAAGAAAACCAACCTCACGCTGTCTCCTCCTTCTCTCTCTCTCTCTCTCTCTCTCTCTCTCACGAGTCGACGACCACCATCAGGCCGCGACGACCCCTCGCCTAGTCCCCGATTTTTCGAACATTGATTGTTAGAGCTAATTTGGGTTTTCTAATTTGACTTTGAATCTCACTCACCCAAGAATTGCCATGGTTTCTGCTTGGCAGGGGAGCAAAACAGATGTAGTCATTTGCAGTTATGATGATCATTTCCTTGTGAGTGTTGGGTTTTATTTTTATATTTTTTTTGGGATTGGGGGTGGTGGGTGCATGGAAAGACTGCAGTCTTTTTGTGCCAACTTCTAATATTTTAAACACTTGCTCAGGTCATTGCAACTCAAATAGGAGCTATGGGCACCATACTGCAAGCCAGGTATTCTGCATATTCATTAGTTTCATTTCTGTGTCCGAAGCTTTTGTTATTACTAGTGTTGTTTACATTGATTTGTACTTTACCCATTTGATACCTGAAAATTGCTATATGCCTATTGGCAATGAATGGTGTAGTGCCCCGTCGAGGAGCTTATGTGGTGTATATTATTTTCAACTTCAGGAAGGAGGAAGGGATGGCAATCCATCCAACATTCAACGTGTCTGTAATCTTTGGCAAGCGAGATGAGGTAAGATTGCCGGTGCAATATAGCCTGTTAGTTTTATATATTCCTTGCTGACTGACTTTTGCGCTCATTTATATCCTCTTTAACATCTGCAGCCAATGCTAGTGTCCTGTGCTCGTCAACTTATTGAACACATCAGGTATATCTCTATTTATAGGAGTTTCTTTTTCCTTATTCAATACCAGTTACTGATCCTGTTAATTTTTTTTTGGGTGAATATTGTGAAGCAAGGTTCGCTTGTTAATGTTCTATTTCTAATATGTTTGTTGAACAGCCTGTTTCTTTCAGAAAGTACTAGCTGAACATGTAATGTTCTAACACAGCGGGTTGTGTTTGCAGTAACTCAGGCTCCTCCAGGCCATTAATGCTTTCTCTTGGTCTCAAAGACCATTCAGTGGTACTAACCAACCCCCTAAGTCTATAGATGCTTTTTGGCCAATATATTTGTTGTAATTCCAATTATGTCATGCAGGAGACATTGAAAGGCATTGTTTCTGCTGTGATCGGGAATCGTCTCTGGTAGTAGTGTGAAGTTGTGATCAGGATTCGCCTTGCCTGTGACGAATGAAGTTTGCTATCGAAACCCTTAATTACTTTCCAGCAAGAATCAATCCAACCCTCACCACAAGTAATCAGTAGTAGGGTGTCATCATGTTATAATTTCATTGCTTGACGAGTAGCACACATCTTACCTTGGAGACAATTCGAAGAATTGAAGAACTGATTGATGAAACAGATTATTTAAGCTCAATTGTAGTTTCTCTTATTTTGGCACATTCTGATAACTTTTAGTGAATTATACATTTAGGCCGTTGATATGACTTAACACTTGACAAATAGGGTTGATGGTTTCGATTGAATTAGAATCTGTTTTGTTGTTTTATAATCCAAATTGAATTTGATTTGAAACTTGGTTCATTTTTTAACCCTACTAAAAATAAGATTTTATTCTGTTTTGAGAGTTGTTTGGTCGACAAGTTGCATGTGCAGCCCTTGAAGCTGACACAACGGGTAGAAGGCGCGACTATGAAGAGAACTATTTTTTTGGTCGAACAGAAAAAGAGAGAATTGAACTAATATGAATTATAATTACAATATCAGTTCAATAAATTACTTGTTACACAACGGGATTCAAGGAATAGCATTCTCAAAATTTGAACGTCTGCACTAACACACATTCACACATATGGTACACTACGAGTACAACAAAAGAAAGAAGAGGAAGAAAATTGCTCCTATTGCAGATTCCACATACAATCAAAGCACCAACGAAATCATCAAGCGGTGGCCACAACACCACCGTCACACTTCCATCTTCTTTCAGCAACATTTTCTATTTTTCCGCCGAAGCAATTGTATGGTTGACAATGGTAGACTGCAGACATGACATTGCCATTATCCTTCACTTCCGTTTCTAATATTTTCGTCTTTGTTGGTCATAACTTTCAATTGTCTTTCTAACTGCAAAAGTACGAGAAGACATCTTCTGATCACTTACAAGAAACATTCTGATTACAGATAACCCAAAAATATATTTCTCTTCCCCCTAGAATATAAAATCTCCAACAAAAGCCATTCAGATAAATACACAAACCTGGGCATTTTTCAACTTCTGTCTTTGCAATTGTTCAACGAGATTCCCGACACTGACATTACAGATGGAGTATAAGTAGAACGTTGATAAGAAGGTCCAAAATTACATCACCAAAAAAAACTTAATTACTCATATACCTCTGTTGCAGATGAATCACCAGAGACTGTAATTCTCTCTCCCTCCCGGAGGCCGGAGGCATCTGCATCAAATATGACATGTGGCATTGTCAAAATCTAGCTCAAGCTTAAAGTCCATAAGACCAAATTACTTTCAAGAATCAGATGTAACACAAACTACCACTAGAATGGGGAGAAAACTATTGTAGCTTATAAGCATTTTCAATTAATAACGACTCATCAAGCAACAATATTATAAAGTCACTTCATGTAAAACGAATATGATTTCGAAAAATGGCTTATATGTTAAAGGTAACTAAACCCAACCTTTACCTGCAAAAGATCACTGCTGCTTGCGTCAATGGACTCCCCTTGTGTTCCTGTGTGAAGCTGAATGTATCAAACCCAACAAAAATTTGCAGACACAGTTAAAGGCCAAAAATGTGAGATGAAAAGTTTGGGAAATTACCAGAGGTCTGTTCCACATATTTGATCAATTTAACTATTTCTTCCTGTCAAATGAGGAAAACAGAAAATTGAGACATAATATCTCCTCTACAAAATTGGGTAAGAAATAGAAACTGGCACATACCCTTTGCAAGCTGTTTTGCTGCAGAATACATTGTAATGATGGGAGAACAGTGGTGGCTCCAAGGTTTGTGGTTGCTGGACTAGCTGAACCTCCACAAGCAGGACCAAAAAAGCAGTTCGAAGGACCCTGGAAAATAGATTAGAATAGCAATGGTTATAAGCCCATTGCCTAAAAGATAAAAGTTACACCCCTACTGTTTTATGAAGTGAAACATCATAAATAGACAAATTTAATGCAGCTAGCTATTGAGCATATACTAAACTAGGAGGAGAATTACGAGTTAGATTCAAAAATCACAAAGTAGACATAAAACCCCAATGGGTGCTGAGCAAAAATCTGATGAAAAACTGAAACCAGTAGATGGGTCAAACAAAATGCAATTGCATTCTTGAGAGCCAAACTTCTGATGAATAGCAGAGAACATTCTAAAGTATATATGTTATAAACCCACAATTCAATCAATTTTGCAAACCAATTTCCAATAACCAGGCCTCATAAAGATAAAAATTTACAAGTGGTAGCTACAGCATAAGCAAACTGGTAAAAGAGAATAAAAATTCTTCAAGATATCAGATTAATGGCTCTGCCCTTGTGTTAACCACAAGCTGAGCACATAGCGAGGATAAATTCTTTATTCATATGTACCTTGGGACTGAGGTCCGCTGAAGTGACCTTGAAGCGCCCCTTACGTTGGACAACTGCTCCTTCAGACATATCCTCAGCTGCATAAATAAATGCAATACCATAATAGCTTTAAATAAGGACAAATAGGTGTGGCATCAGAAATTAGACATAGGTAATAAATGAGAAGCACAGAACCACAGAAGACAAACCAGAAGCAGGGTTATTGGCATGACCCTTCTGGCGATACAGCAATGGACCACTATAGTTCCGCTCAGGTTGATGTTTTAATTGTAGATGATCCCTTCAAAATATCATGTATGCAGTTATATAAAACAAGAAGTAACTACATATGGAATTCAAGGAGCTTTCGTTTCATTCAGTCAGAGATAGCATGAGCATGCAAACAATGCTTGATGCATTGAAGGGGAGAGGCAAAGCTCACTTTCTTCTGGTTGAAAAAAGGGAAAGAACAATAGAGCATTCTACCGATGAGGTCATTCTAGAGAACCTAGCATAATAAACAAACCAAAAAACTTTATCCTGAAGAAAGCTTACCTCTCCCCATCACCAATAACCTTTTTAGGAGAAAGCACACTATCCGGTAGTACTGAACCACTCAAAAATTTTTTAGGCTCGGGAATGACATGACGTGGTAAATAACTACTTTGACCTGAAGTCTCACCCTCGCTTCTTCCATTTTCTTGAACAATGGTTCTAGGACTAGTCGCACTCCCATTATCCTCACAAACATCAAAACAGCCTCTGCATCAGAAAACATAATTAATTACATAAATAATATATTTTTTTAAATTAAATGAATTTTTAAATGTTTAAACAGCCAAGCAAACATGAAAACAACTTTTACATTCAAAACATGAAGTTTCCAAAAAAGGGAGCGATTACAGCCCCAAGGAAAATGAAAATGCTAAATAAATTTACTCCAAATAAACACAAAGTATCTCAATAAATTTTGGGAAATCCCATATTACATAAAATGCAATAACTTGCAGCAAACATCTTAATATATTGTATAATAATTTCAGACTGCAATACAAAATCTGTTGCAGAATGATAATTCTTAGACAACTATTTTCCCTGCCCACAAAATCAGTTTTTGTGTTATCAGTGGAAAATATGACTAAAAAGGGAAAGCAGTCATACTTAAGTGCTTGAAGAGGTTTAATAGGAAATGAAGCAAGTGAGCTGTCCAAATCATGAAGATCGTTGAAACCATCCTAAAAAAGGCAGATGCCAAACACAAAAGGATAATTAGAACTTCATAAATCGAATATCTGAGGGCAAGGGAGATTAAAATAAATCAATACAGATATCATTTTTCACAGTAGTTCCCATACCTCCTGTGCAGCATTTGGTTGGTTTTCCATTTCAATAGCTGCCCCCTCAGCTGGAAAACTAACATCTTCATCCTTCTCATTTTGCTTCTTACTTGATGCATTGGGCATGCCATCTTCCTGAATCTGCAGGCAACACTGTGTCAGAAATAATATAAAAAATAAAAAACAATAATGATAAATGAATATTCCATTGACGAATAAAACAATTTTCTTAAGAAATTAAGAATAACGAAGTATACATAGGCTAGAAATTCACATGACTTACAAGGGCAGCTTGATTTTTTAAATCCTCAAGGTTGAAATTCCAGGCACTGATTCCTCGGATATACTCTTGCTGCAAGTGAGTACAATTATATCAGGATAGTGTTGATATTTGGCTACCCAAACTCCAGGAATAATGATCTTAGATATTGAGGAAGATGATTTGATTACACATTATAATGCATGCACACAGAGACAAATTTGACTATGATGAAGAATACAAACTTAACCGAAGGCCCTATTATGTTCCATTCGTTTGCAGTATTAGACAAAAGCTTCCTGTTCATAAAATATAAATGTTATGGGCCTTAAAGAGGGCGATGGACTCATATCTGTGACTTTCTGAGTAACTAAATAATATGTACTCATTTAGACCTTTTAAACACTAAAGTGCTGAAGACTAGAATGTGGAGGGTAAACTTGAAATGCCGAAGCCTAAAAGACCAATCTAGACTACAAGAAAACACCTAACCAAATTTATATAATTTTGTACACAACTCTCACCTGCGATAAGTGTTCTTTATCCCCATACAGAGCCTTATTCTGCACAAGGAGATCAGCTTCTTTTGCCTAAAACATAACAAGTAAAAAATGAAGCTGAAATTATGCCACACATCACAACTAAATAATCAAGCAGAGAAGAGAGTCTGAGAGTAGCACAAGACCTTCAGCATCCTAAAACGATCACCTAGTGGAGAAAGGCCATCAAGAATAGTACGAGCCAGATAATCAACTGGTCGTGCATGTTTGAAAAAATGGTGCTTTAAAAGCTTCTCTGAAGTTGGACGTTTCTTTGGATCCTTCACTAAGCAAGCAGCTACCATCTCTTTGAAAGACTGGAAAATGTAGCACTTCATGAATTAAATTTGAGAATGGAAGATGTGAGTTTCAACTGGCCAACACAAACCTTTGAAAATCTCCTGTCTCTTTCATAGTCAAGGCCTGGGGGTGCATTTTGTAAAGTCATCAGCAAAACCTGCAATAAGGGTGGAAAAGTGAAGAGAAAAGTTGTACATTCTCATTATAAGCACCACTGAAACACTTCTAGCAGGAAGATTTCATTAAATATCAAAAAATCAAGATATTTACTTTCATGGGTGGATACTTGGAAAATGGGGCATGGCCATGAGCAAGCTCAAGTGCTGTTATTCCAAATGACCAGATGTCTGCTCTGTTCATGGAGAAAAAGGTAAAACATAACATAAGAAACTTCAAGTCTTCAACCAAAAATACATTGCAGTAGACAAACAAGTGAAAAAAGAGAACAAAGAAAGTCAGAGATCGGCTAAGCAACCCACTCACTTGAAGTCATAGCCATGCAATTGCTGCATAACTTCAGGAGCCATCCTGAGGAAAAAGAGCAAAATATAGTATTTTAACATACGTAGAACTTCAATTGCCCTAAGTGAATCAACAGTGGCAATAGGATCTTTAATATTAGAGCATCATATGTAAGTCTGAAGGAAAAGATTGAGAAAATACCAGCACGGAGTTCCAACAAAAGTATTTCTGGAACGCTGTCTATCTCCAGTATCAAACATGCATGCTGACACTCCAAAGTCACCTAACTTGACTGCACCATTAGAGTCAATTAAAATATTCCCAGCCTGAAAATGGAAGTTAGGAACATGAATAAGAAAACAAGTGCATCTCTCGATTATAAAAAAAACTTAGTGCAGACCATCCTTCAACATAAAAAGACATAAATAACAGCATGCTAAGAAATATAAAGCAAACTGAACGCAAGCTTGTCACATACAGAGGACACACACATGTAGGCCTATGCACACCTGTAAGAGGTTTTGTACAAAGATTTAACAATATATCACAAAGCATACAATTAATCTCTTCAAAAGCAAATAAATAAATTTCTCATGTATTGAACCGGAACCCTTTGTTCCAAGGATACAAATTTCATTCGTTCTCTAGAAAAGTCAATGATTATTACATAATGAAGACAATCAACAACTAAATATCCCTGAAGTACATGAATATACACAAAAATTGATGGTAAGATGATAGGATCAACAAGCCGAGTATGATACCTTCACGTCTCTATGGATGTGGCCATGAGCATGTAGATATACAAGAGCTTTTAGAACCTCATGCAATAAAGTCGCAATAACAGGCTCTTCAAAACCTTCAGGATATGCAGATTTCATTATATGCAGGCAGGATCCCCCAGCCATATATGGCATCACGACCCAAAGGCTGTGGCCAGCAGTGAACGAACAATGTGCTCGTAATAAATTTTGGTGATTAATCAAAGTCATCGTATGTACCTCCCTCCGGATACCATCCTGCATAATTTGACAAGAAAGATACAATTTTAGATGGTCCTTCAAATTTATACTTAAATCATCCCATCAAACAGCTTCAAGACAACAAATCAGTCAATCATACAGAAAATGTTCTTGGAGGGCATTTGAATTCGTATGATGACCTTAAAAAGTGTTGTAATCAGAAACTTATTTTTTTCTCAGATAAATCCTGTTATAAATGCCTCACAGTTGTACCCAAACTTTAAGAGCACATTCAACATGAAAATAATGAAGAATAACTCTCCCATAAACTCCTGAAGTCATCCATGATGTGATGGGATTCCTTCTCAAAATAGTATGCAATACATGCATAGATTTCAATTAGTCCAAATATATTAAGACATAGAACCCAAGTGAACAAGACAAGCCAAATATTAGCACCATTTAGATGTCAACCAGGTGCATTAAAAAATAAACTCGACAGATAAATTGTGATTTACAAAAGAGAGTAGTCCACATACCAGGTCATTATTGCACTTTTCCAGATCAAGAACCTTGATAGCAACTATCTCATTAAGTGGTATACAGAGTGCCCTGTACACAGAAGCACTAACACCTTCACCGACTTCTTCATATAACTTATAATCTTTTGCATCCAGAGGAAATCTTTTGTCTGATGCATACTCCATGCTTTCTTCTTATATCACACTGTTGAAACCCTCTTTACTTCTAGATATCCCAAAGAACATGAATAAAGTGTACCCAAAGGAAATAAGCATCAAATTAATACAGGGATTCCAATTTGATAGCATTTTCCCTTGGTTCAACACAAAATTGCATGTTCATCCAGTAACTCCATTCAGATATTTCTTTCACCAAATGCTTCCATTTATGACCTAATTAATTTCAGGAACTCTAAAACAGCACTAGCTAGTTATACAATAGGCGACAATATAATTACATACACTGACAAGAATTCTGGATAGAACTTGCTACCATTCAATTGAGCAGGAAACCGTAAGACAAAAGAAAGGTATCAATCTGAAGCACTTTTAGAAGGAATTAGCACTGAGAGCACAAAGCCATATCTAGTAACGTCATCAATAGTGCAGACTAACGCTGCCTGACTTTGAACTGCCCACTATTCTCACAAGACCAACTTGAGTGTTTATCATATATGGTGCACGCTGATGGCAATGATTGATGTCTTAGGAAAAAATAAGAAACAATTCCTACAAAATCAAAGAGGAACAAGTTAGCCATATTAACACAAGAAAGAAGGCCAGAAATGACTACTTCAGCGATCCAGATTATTATTTTGGCAGAAATAAGGAAAATATCAAACTTGAGGCCATGACATTGCTCATATAAATCATAACAAATAAAATTCCAATAAACATAACTTAACCCACCAATGGGTTTAGTGAACACCAAACACAGTTCAAAAATTAATCTTAGCTCAGTAATGGGTAACCGCACTTGCTTTCTGGATCTTAAAGGGCCGATTGTATTGGAAAGTACAAATCTACTTAAAATTGTGTCCAGAAAACAAACCATCTTACAAGAGCTCTTGTTTGATCAGTTTCTGAACAATTCCCACTTCCTTACAGTCATGCTTCTATGCAACAATTTACTCATTAGAGAAGTAGAAAATAAACCTTCCTTGCAACAATTCATCACAACTTGGATTTTTAAGACAGAAGAGGGCGGAGGCGGGGGATTAAAATTGCGATGCTACAATCGACCATTCTAAATTTCCACATTTTTACAATCAAATTAGCAACACTACACATTCAAATTTAAAACTTGCCACCTCAGAACCATAAGAAATCATCAAACTGAATTCCAGTTACCCATTTGTCAGCTCCACCAAACCAGATTACTAGATTTTAATATAAACATGAAGAAATGAAATGAATTAAGCAAAACAACAGAAAAAATAACAACACTTTTTAATTGCTGCTAAACAAAGTTATGAACTTGAAAAAAAATCCGCTAAATTCAATTGCTTTAAGTGTACGGGCGGATGATGAACCTGAAGAATTATCAGCGGGAGTACCGAGTACGTATGGAGTAGGGTTTCGCCAGCAAAGTGGAGCTCGTTGTGTTTCGTCGTGAAAGTGGACGAACCAGAAGGTCCAGAACTGAATCTGAGTTGTTCTGACAATTATTCAGACAAAATGAGAACTCCCCCCACAAAACGACGTCGATTCAGCTCAAATTGCTCGTCGATTGAAGTCCCCCGATTGTCTCTCTTATTCTCTCTCTCTCTATATCCAACTGTCGCTCAGGCTTTGGTCCTCAGATCGAATCTCTCACCATTTTTTTTTCTTTTTTCTATAAATAATTTCTGTTTTTAAACGAAATTTAAATAAATAAATAAATACAACAGGTAAAAGGAAAGCCCCTTTTTCTGCCTTCAATTTTGTGGGGAAAATCAAAATCAAATATCATTGCAGACAAAATATATATATATATATATATATATATATATATTTTTTTTTGTAACAACAAAATATATTTTCACAGGGGGCGAGGCAAGGCCAGGGCAACCGTGATTGCAAAATGGGGTGGGCCCCGCGTCGAGATTTTAGTTCAAATAGTCAATGTATCGGAGGGAAATTGCAAGTATCGGGTATTTATCGTGATCGCAGCCCCTGAGAGAGAGAGCCCTAAATTTGGGTCACGAGAGAGACAGTGCATGATTAGCTGGCTTTAGAACAGAGGGCTCTGATGAGGCCCGTCCGCTGTGGTGCCTTATTCAACCCAATTGACGATATTGGGCTTGGGCCAAATTATTCTTAACACACCCGATTTCAATGGGTTGAGCCTTGACTACACTCGAAATTACTTTCCTAACCCCAATAGTTAAGATAGGCTTAATGCGGGCTTTTGAACCAAGCCTTTATATGAGGAAGCTTTTGGGTGCAACTGAGAGAGCAAAACACCGTCACATGATGTTATTAATGCACGATGTAACATGTAATAATTTAACGGATTTGGCTACATCGCGAGACGGTATTTCAGCAGCACACAATAATTTCGGCCCAAAACGAGCACACATGTATGTCTGACACGTGTATGAGATGGTGTGTATCTTAACAATGATTAAAGATGTATAATAATTGAGGACGTGGGATTGAATTGGCACCTTTAAATTAGGTGGGCCAATGACTTTGTACACAAGACAAGAGTGGCGGCAATGCATGGATGTATGGGGGAGTGAGTGAGATGAGATGGGTGCATGTGCATGTGCATGGATCGTGGATTATAATCTATCTAGATTGCAGTGTACGAAAGTGAAGGTGGAGATGGTGGCCGGGCCCGACGGCAACAATGACATGAAATGGAGCCCAAATTACACGTGGCACAGTGTTGGAATCCGGCTTTAGAATTTATACGTCCTAAAGCTTTGAGGGTCCCACCATGCCACTCTCTTGTCTTGTCGGCCGGAGGAGAACCCACTCGGGTCTACCCGCTGTCACTCGAGCCACCTGTCTCAAGGTGAGATTTCCATTTTCCCACCATGAGCCATGGCCCCGAAGGCTTCAAGCCTTTAAGGAGGGAACCGATAAGACTTGAGACTTAAGTTAAACTTAACAACCTTTTTTAGTTTCTAATTATATATTAGAGCTTGACACAATTTCAACTAATTCATATATTCAATTCATCATCTGTTGAAATAAATACAAAATTCAAGTGTATAAGTGAATATTATTAACCACTTAAGCGACGAGCATCTGAACAATAACAGAAGTTTAATTTCTTAAAATTGATTACTTAAGCATAAGTTTCTGTTGTTCCAAGCATATGTAATTAAGCTGCAAGCTCGTAGACAAATAGATGACTAGGCAGATCCCTCACCTTTATTTAATTTGTAATTTTGGACCAGAAGTTGAGATTGAGAACAACATGGAAGGACACAAGGAAAACCGTGTCAAGTCAAGCTTTAAATTTTGTGCAGTTGTGCAGTTGTGCAGGTGAAACCGTGAAACCATGGAACAAAACAAAATGTGCTCAAAATAACTATTTCAACAGAAAACGACGTCGTCCAAGACGCCCTTTCCTTTTTCGTTTTTTTCTTCTTTGTCCGTTTTGTCAGCATAAAATTCTTTTGTAATTTTTTTTTTCTTTCCCAAAATGAAATAATTAAAGAGTAAAAGGAAAAAGGAGGATAAGGAATTGTTTTGTTTGCTTTTGCGAAGGGGAAGGGGAAGGGTCAAAGAGGGAAGGACCCAGCGGCGCAATCAGCCACGTGTGCGGCAAAGATTGAGAACGATCTTCATCTACCTTACGTCATCTTTCATCGTCTACAGACTCGAGACTCGAGTCGCACTCGTTACGGCATGATCACCTGCTTCGCCTCCTATTTTTACCTATGTATATATATAAAATATATAGATCTCTCTTCCCCTCTATGTCCCCAGCTTTTGCTTACTAAAGCGGCAAAGCTAACTACTAGTACTACTCATACAAAGCTCACTTTTTTCATTTTACTCTCTCTCTACATTTGAGCTGAAACCAAACAAGCAACCACAAGAAAGAGATCTCTGCAGCCTGGAAATGGAAGTAAGGAATTTTCGGAAACACAACTTCTTCTAGGGTTTCCTAAAATTCCCGTCCTAGTTTTAGCTCTATAGCACTTGCAATCTTTGTTTTAAGTTAAAATCATCAGCCTTTCTTTGCTTTTGCCTTTTTTTCTTTTTTTAAATAATTAGTCTGTGGGATCAAAATGGAGCTTTAAGATATATACTTTGCTCACCGACTTTGTGTCTCTGGCTACGCAAGGCATTCAAAGCTCTTATGTGTCGCTCAAGTTATGATCTTTTAGCTCCTCCAATGGTTTTGTCAAATTTGGGTAGATTGTGTTAATTATCTGCTACTCCATTGGCCTAGACTAGTAGAGAATTTGTTTTGATTGGTCAATGTGTTTGCTTAACTGCGGGTATATTGACTGCGCAATGGTGGAAATTTTGTGTTTTGGGAAGTAGGTGCGACTTGTTTGGTTGGTTGGTGATTTTCCCAGAAAGTGAAAGAGGAATGTGGATGGAAATTTGAGTGGGGAGAGAATTTAGTGACTGAGTTTGAGGTTCAACCTTGCAAAAATGACAGAAGGGCGGAAGACAAGGCGTGGGATACATTTTAGCAAACTCTATTCGTTTTCGTGTATTCGATCTACTTTTCATGATAGTCATTCCCAAATTGGGGAAAGAGGGTACTCAAGGGTTGTGCATTGTAACGACCCTGATAATCCTGAGGCACTTCAGTTGAGAGACAGGGGAAATTATGTTTCGACTACCAAGTATACGGCAGCTAATTTTATTCCCAAGTCTTTGTTTGAGCAGTTTAGGAGGGTTGCAAATATATACTTTCTTGTTGTAGCTTGTGTTTCATTTAGTCCATTGGCGCCTTTTAAAGCTGTTAGTGTTCTGGCACCCTTGTTAGTGGTGATTGGAGCTACTATGGCTAAGGAAGCTGTTGAAGATTGGAGGCGAAGAAAACAGGTAATTATCTACATGTCAATGCATTGCACCGTTGATTTTACACGCGATAGCTTAAGCTTATTTAGTCATTTTTTAATAACTCTGTAAAGAATTTGGAGTATAATTGCATTAGAATTATGGTCCTCAATTGTAACTCTCTCCCGCTGGGGTGGGCAAGGGGGGGCAGCAGTTTAAAAGAGTAAAAGTTAATCAGACAATCAACATATATTTTTGTTAATGTTTTGCAGGGAAGGTTACAACTTACATTATGTAGTCATATTTGTTGCAAACGGTCTTTTGAGCATTTGTACCGATGGAGATTGTGTACATCCTTTTAGTATGTATTGATGCTTACTGTCTATATCCAAAATGGTTGCAGCATAATTGGAAAGAGCAACATTATTAGGATACCTTCAAATTAATGTTTTGATGTTTATTTATTTGTTTGTCCTAATTAAGTTGGCTATATCTTGAAATGGTTTCAGGATATTGGGGCAAACAATCGAAAGGTTAGAGTTTATGGTAGGAATTATACTTTCTACGAGACCAGATGGAAGAAACTCCGAGTTGGTGATCTTGTGAAGGTGCACAAGGATGAGTACTTTCCTGCTGATCTGCTTTTGCTTTCATCGAGCTATGAGGATGGGATTTGCTATGTTGAAACTATGAACCTTGATGGAGAAACCAATTTAAAATTGAAGCATGCATTGGAGGTGACATCCCATCTTCAGGATGAAAATTCCTTGGAAAAATTTAAAGCAGTGATCAAGTGTGAGGACCCGAATGAAAATCTGTATTCATTTGTTGGGACTTTGTACTATGATGGCAAACCTTACCCACTTTCCTTACAACAGATGCTCTTAAGAGACTCTAAGCTGAAAAACACTGAATATGTCTATGGTGTTGTTGTGTTTACTGGTCATGACACGAAAGTGATGCAGAATGCTACAGATCCTCCTTCAAAGAGAAGTAAAATTGAGAGGAAAATGGATAAGATAATCTACATTCTTTTCAGTACTCTGGTTGTGATAGCCTTTGTCGGATCTGTCTTTTTTGGAATTGACACTAAACGAGATATCAGTGGTGGAAAGTATAGAAGGTGGTATCTTCGTCCAGATCATACCACTGTGTTTTATGACCCCAAAAGACCAGCACTTGCTGCTTTTTTCCATTTCTTGACTGCCCTTATGTTGTATGGATATCTGATACCAATATCTCTGTACGTATCAATAGAGATCGTGAAGGTACTACAGAGTATTTTCATTAACCAAGATCAGGATATGTATTATGAGGAAACAGATAGGCCAGCTCGTGCACGCACGTCTAATCTGAATGAGGAACTTGGCCAGGTTGATATGATACTTTCTGACAAAACAGGTACATTGACATGTAACTCCATGGAGTTTATTAAATGCTCGATTGCAGGCACTGCTTATGGCCATGGTATGACAGAAGTGGAGAGGGCACTGGCAAACAGAAGGGATGGACTGCCTAAAACTGGTGACATATCATCTGATGTACTCAGGGATACAAGTGATGTTGTTGCCTCTGGAAAGTCAGTTAAGGGTTTTAACTTTAGAGACGAACGCATCGTGAATGGCCAGTGGGTCAATGAACCTCGTTCAGACACAATACAGAAATTCCTACGGGTTTTAGCGATGTGTCATACAGCCATTCCAGTTGTGGATAAAAAATCAGGAGAAATAACTTATGAAGCTGAATCGCCAGATGAAGCAGCTTTTGTCATAGCTGCCAGGGAGCTTGGCTTTGAGTTTTTCGAAAGGACACAAACAAGCATATCATTGCATGAGTTGGATTTTGAAACTGGGAAAAAGGTTGACAGGTTAGCTCCATCTGTACTGTGACCTGTTTATTTTTACATTCAGGCTCCTTGTAGTCTTTAAGCAGCTGGAAGGCCATAACAATTACAGCATGCGTATGTATGTGCGAGCTCATGCATACATGTAACTAATTACTTATT